GTTTGTTTATAAATTTAAAATATTGAAATTTGTTTTATTAAATGTCTAACAAAAGTTGTTGTAAAATAACAACATTACCTTAAAAAAATAATTGTCAACAAGACTATGTCTTGTTTATAAAATCGTACTGCTTGCTGTGTTACCAGCTTAGAGGTATGAAGGAATCATGTCAGGAGTTGCAATTTGGCACATAGTATTAAGTGCCCAAATCATACGCGCATAAAAAAACCTGACTTGTAGGTACTCGGGACCGAGAACCGAGTGAAAGTAAAATACAAAATGGCGACTCTCTCTACAAACAGCACAGTCGTTCAAGGAAATGGACTCTGACCCTAGGACTGAACACGTAGTATTTTCTTTCTTAAATAAAATTTGTAATCTAATTTTGTAAATTTGGGAGTGCTTCAAATATGACATTAAAACAGAGTTTTATGTCGTTACAAGTAGATTTTTTAAACATTGTCTAGTATAGTAAAATCATGGGACCAGTAAAAATTTGACGTTATAATCAGGTTAAACTGTATATTGTTTGTGCAAAATAAAAAAAATAATTTCGGACGATACAATAGTCACGGAGTATTTTTTTCAAAGACAAGAAATTTTCGTTAAGCATGGACAAAAATTCAACCCGGGCCGACACGCAACGGAGAGAAATTTCGAAATTGGATAGGTTAATTTGATCGAAAATGCACGGTGGACGACCTCGTGGTCGTGGCTGGCGAAGTTTGAACGATCGCGCCCAAAAGCAGCGATACCAAAGAAGATTTGAGAATGAGAAAGAGATCCGCTTTGAGCGTCAAAGTGATTCTGCTTAGTAGTATCTCCGAGACATAGTCTGTCCCAAATACGGTTTTGCCGTTTTACTTGTTTAATTTAACCTTTTTGGTTAATTAATATTTAAATAATATAATATTTTACCAGTTTTACCAGTATTATACAGTTGTCCAACAGAAGAGAAATCTATCTTATTTACAAATCTTTTCAAAATAGACAGTTTGACCGGGCCCTTCTAAAAACCGGGCCCTAGACATTTGTCTCATTTGTCTATGCGATGATCCGGCCCTGACTATACAGAACTATCATAAAAACGTACCAGTAAATTCTTATCGATTGGGCTATGTTATAAATCTACTCGTGATTCACGTAATCGGGCGAGGGCAGCTAACAGTCCAGAACCGGTCCAGGTTAGAATTGGATGCAGTATACGCGTAGCATCCACCCAAGGTCCTAGGGGCTTCCACCGACTAAACCGGGTGAGGTTGCTGCTCTGTAAAGCGCATGCGCGAATCTGGCCCTTTTTTTGCATGCTGACGATACAACGCTTCCACTCCGCCACTAATAATCGAATATACAATAGCAATCTTATTTTTTTTTCACGTGTAGTATAGAAATTTATAATAAGATACATACATAATGCGGTTATAATAAAATATTGTGCAATTATTTTCATATAATTAAAATTAATATGTATTTATTTTTTTAGAAATACAAGGGACGGCACGCTACTGGTCGATAGATATATCTTTGCTAAAAGAGGCCCTCTTAACGTCCATAGGGCAGAAAGTTTTCAAAAATTCATAGAAAAGACCCGAAAAAACCTAGCCTTAAAGTAGCCACGACACTAATTTTATATTAATCAGCCGACCATTGTCAAATGTCACGTGACCGGGTCGAATAGAGTTCTCTGTAAACGTCACCATGGCATCGAGCGAAGTCATGTGACACGTTTTGTACGCGTCCGACTTCCAATGTGCTACTTCGCGACGAAAACTAGCTTAAGCAATGCGGTTCAAAGGGTTCTGCTAAGTATATGCTAAGTATCTGCTAAGTAAGATCTGCTAAGTAGTCCAATGATGTTTTTAATAGCACTTTTCATATGGGTAGCTCCAATAAATTCAATGTGTTTTGGAAATATCAAATATGTTTCTTAAAAATTTAAGAAAAAATGTTCCATATACTAACTGTATATAATTAATAATTATTATCCTTTTTACATCTAAAAAAGACTTTTTAAACAGTCGATGGATATCAGAATATATTTTAAAGTTTTTTTTTATTACTGGATAGAATATTATTGATTTAAGAATAATCATTTCACTTTTATGTAATTCAAAAACATGAATAAATTGTGTTTATTTGCAATAAGTTATATCAGAAGAATTGCCGATAACGTAATTCTAATTATATACTGTATGATTGCATGTGTCAATATTAACCAATAAATGTTCACGTACTAAAAGTAAACTGAATGATAATTGGTTGATTTCTTGTGAATACGACCATCAAAGAAAAGCGCTTGAAGCCATGCAGGGAAGCCTCACCACGTTTCCTGCTACTTATTTTTATCAGTATTCAGCCACTTCTCCTTTATTTTAATCAGAATAAAAACGTTTTATATTAATTTTGTTTTACGACACTGTAATTTAAACCATACCGTCATCTTTCATAGGACCAGCAGTACAATTACATTTAGTTATTACGTAGCGGAAGCGAAATACTATATAGCCTAGCTCTAGTGTAATGTCTGTCTACAGCCCTCTACATTGTCTACATCATGTATATTTATATAATTTAAAATTCGAAGTACGATGACGTCAATGCAAAACTTTACTTTTGTACAGCTTGTATAGGTTAATTACTCTAAAAACAAAAATACACTTTTATCAAAGATCTTATGATACTGATATAATATTTTAAAAGTTTTAATTACAAGACATAAATATGTAAAATGAATTAAATACAGTAATTCGTAATGAATTTTTGATACCAGAATAAAGGAAATAACTTCATTGCTGATAAAAATCTCCCTGTAAATTTAATTTAATTTAAAATATGCTTGTTATTGAGTTTATATAGAATGATGAAAAAATTTTTAATTAATTTAAATTTTTCGTGAATTATGAGGAAAAAAATGTATATTTCTATTAGTTGGTTCTAAATCCGTTCCTAAAAAAATTGTTAAAAATATTTTTTTTTTGTTTTCTAACTATCAATAAATGAACTAATTCATTACACTTCAATAAAATAGTTCAATAAATTATATAAATGCAGAATAAAAGGATGAAAAGTAGATAAAAAATGAAAAAACATCCTAGGGAAAAATAGTTACATCAGAATAAACGAACTAATTTATAGAAGTTGAATTGATATTAACTCAAAAATTATTTTATTTAAAGACCAGTAAGATGTTACTATTTAAACTATTTAAAAACGTATTTAAAAGTTTTTTAAAAGCATATTATTTAATTAAAGCATATTACTTTCGTTTTTATTTCACTTAGCTTCAGAGGTAAACTGGCTATTGAAATCAGCCCGGGAAATTACTCGAAAATGACTCACAAACCCATTTTTTTCAAAAAGATTAGAACCAAATTTTATTATAGTGTTTTTTTACTACTACAGTCTAAAATTAAAATAGAAAAATTCATTCGAACTTCAATCTTTTATTTACATACTACTTTATATTAAAACTATTTTAAAAAATTGAATATAGATACAAATTTGTAAATTCAATTTTAAATTTCGAAAAAATAACTAAACTACAGGGTACAGCAGCAGAATTTGAAGTAGAACCCTCTGATTCTCACGATATCAAAGAATTGATTGAGTAAAACTATGTTGTAATAATTCTCAATTGTCTTTCGAATAAATATACAGTAACCAAAAATTATTGGATAACTTCTCATTTTTTAACATTTTTTTTTGTTTGTTTGTTTTTTCGCGCTTTAAAAAACTGAACTAAACTAATTTTTTAAAGTTAAATTTGTGTAGCCGAAAAGAATTTAAAAGTGAAAGTAATATATAATTCACATGACGAATACCAAATACTACGAGATAAGAACACAGTAGTCGTTTAATATAACTGAAAAGCCAACTTTACAGGCGCTGGTATAATGATTCACTTGACAATTGCAATAACAACATTTATCAATATTCATATCGGTTATCATTTTTTTGGAACAATTAATTTAGATTATATTTTAAAAGTAATAAAAATATTAATGACATATTCTAAATTGTATATTATTTTATACATAAGTCCAGACTAATGAAAAACAAAGTTACAATTCTTAGAATCTTTAATTTATACATATAACTTTTTCAGAATGGGAATTTTAAACATTTTTCTGTATTTTAACATTTATTAATTAATTATATAAATACGCTTTTATTATTATTATTATTATTATATTTATTTATTTATTTAAAGTTCTAGAATGATATGTGCTTGCGCAATCTGTTGCAATTTCCGGTATCGTCTGTTCCTCGTCGTATTGGATAGAATTTTAAATAGATAATTTGTGTAAAGTTGATAATTTTCTAATTAGATATTTTATGAATAGCTGTCCAATGTTAATTTTTACTCTTCTAAATATAAAACATTGTAAAGGAAAATCTAGTTTGGTAAGTACGGTACGTTAACATTACATCGGTATTGAAAGCAGTTTTTAACCTCGATCATTCCCTTATTACGCTCTATTTAGTTGCTTAATTTCAGTTTTTTAATTATATTCCGACGTATTATTACGACTATTTCTGTATCGCAATATTATATTTAAAGGTTAGAGTAAAGGAAAAAGTATCAGATAAAAAAAAGGCCTTAAACTTAATACTAACGAATAGACATAGACATATCTAGATGTAATTTGACACGCTGAATCGATTGGTATTAAAAAATACAACTTACGACCAACCGTTTAAAAGTTACGAACGATTTTTTATTTCCGGCTATTTGCTTCGTTTAAGAACAACTTTATTAAGAAATACGCAGGCACTCATCGATATTAACAAAACGAGTTACTTTAATTCACCATAATACATTCCATCTACGAGAAAAAGCGACATTAAAAATGCTAAAATGGTGTCGTTAGCCAGCGAACACGCGTACACACGACAAGGGTGTAGGGACAACTGACGCAGGGAAATTTTCCCTGACTGGTGGGGAACTGTCGAGCACGCAATTAAAGCTGGAGACCTTTTGCATAACAGCGGATATTTTGGGATAAAGAACTAATGACATTAATGTTGTTTCAAAGTAACATCGGAAAAACTAAATTTGTTATTAAATTTTTTTTTTATTTTAAATAATATATAATAATTATATTATCGTGTCAACTATTTCTGTTACCGCTCACGTGTGTGTAGGGAATTGTGGAAGTGACGTCACGCTCGACAGTTCCCCACCAGTCAGGGAAAATTTCCCTGCGTCAGTTGTCCCTACGCTCTTGTCGTGTGTACGCGTGTTCGCTGGCTAACGACACCATTTTAGCATTTTTAATGTCGCTTTCTCTCGTAGATGGAATGTATTATGGTGAATTAAAGTAACTCGTTTTGTTAATATCGATGAGTGCCTGCGTATTTCTTAATAAAGTTGTTCTTAAACGAAGCAAATAGCCGGAAATAAAAAATCGTTCGTAACTTTTAAACGGTTGATCGTAAGTAATTTTTTTTAATACCAATCGATTCAGCGTGTCAAATTACATCTAGATATGTCTATGTCTATTCGTTAATATTAAGTTTAAGACCTTTTTTTAGCTGGATACCTTTTCCTTTACTCTAACCTATTTAAATATAGTTTATATATTTCTATAATTATTTATATTGTCTAATGTTCAAATCCATTTTCAGTTTTATACGTCCACAGTATGTCGGTCGTCCATAATTGTTTAACGCCATAACTAGTTCTAACAGTTTATTAAACATCCATAGTCCCTAAACTGCAAACCTGTCGGGCTGTGATTGGCTCATGTATTTAAGTGTCTCGTACAACACGGAAATCACATAACACGGAACGTATCTACCATGTTTATAGGGGGGGTCGACTGTATATACATATGTAATCAATATATATATATATATATATAATTAAACACAATTATATACAGTGCCGTAACTAGGCAGGTGCAACAGGTGCACCTGCACAGGGCCCACTTGGAAGAGGGGCCCAAAATGCATGTATTTGTTTTATTACTTTCCCAAACCTAATTAATTAAGGGGCCTAAATGCAAATTCCTGCACAGGGCACAGGAATGGCTAGTTACGGCACTGATTATATATATAAATGTATAAAACATATATAAACAGTTATTTTATTTAAAACTAAAAATATCAAAATTTTTAAATTAAAAAGAAGATAAACTTACAAAAATTAGTTTCATGTGTAGCTAATATATATTTTTTGTAGTTTTGTCACACAGTAGCATTTCTTTAGAACACATGATTACTGCTCCTCATTATAACAAACCCTTTTAAAAACTGACAATTAATAAAAACTATAATTAAAAACCACAAATAAAAATATATGATAAACATACTTAAAATACATTAAATTAAATTTGACAAAGAAAAAACTTTTTTACAATTTTTTTTAGATGTGAAAATTTGGCACAACTCATTTTCTACAAGTTTTACTATGTTTGGAGAATGGAAAAAGAAAGATCTTTGGATAGTGCCAAGTCTAGTGAATAGAGAAATTAAACAATTTTTGTTGTGCAAATTAAAAGTTGAAACATGAAAATATATAAAATCAGGAATTAAAATACCATTAAAATATTTTTGTAAAAGAATATGAAGTTAAAATAGTGAATATGATTGACCAGGAAAGGGAGACCAAAGCATGCACATGTAGTGCTTCACTACTGTAAATTGTCATTTGTCTTCTTTACCTCATGTTACCATTATGTACTAGTATATATTCGTGTTGTGTGTTTATATAGGTTTTTGTTTATATTTATTAATGTCTTATGTTTGCATGGAACATCACGTGTTTTGTGCCAGTTTCGGGTGTTAAGGTTGTGAAGGGCTGATTGGACAAGAAGGAGACCATGTGATTAAGAAAAGAGCCTGGATAGCAGGATGTATAAAAAGGGGGTCGCATGTGCTCAAGGAACTTTTTGTTTTTCTGCCATTCCGACTTGGATTGGACACTTGAACTGAGGATACAAGGAAGAAGAGAGACTCAGATAAGGGGAGAAGCAGAGATGGAACAAAAAGGAAAAAAGGAGGTTAACTGCCGGTGAGGTCGAAGATCTGAAAATCCATCTACATCTGCGTGAAGACACACCATGCAAGTATAGTTCATAGTACCGAGTGAGGCCATATCATAGTCGATCTTCGTGGGACTATTATTTTCCCAATCAGAATTATTCGGACCATGTGGTTGGTGACTCCGGTTGTGAAGCTTGATCGTATACTACAACTAGGCATGGACAGTAGCATAGTAACTACTGTATTTGCTTAATCTTAGCACACGAGTAAAACTAGTATATCTCAGACGATATACCCAAGTTCAGCCATATATTTAATTGGTTTGATCGTGTTGTGATTGTAGTGGAGAAATCATATTTCTGATCATTTTAGTTATCATTTTATTAAAATTGTTTAACCAACTTAGTAATGTATCTGTCTTAAAATCCTTATGATTACCCCACCTACAGACAAGATATATTCCAATATATCTTGGTCACTACACACACAATGTCCTGTGTGTTTATACCTTGAATGTAAAGTACAGTAGAGCATTGTTTATCCGAATGTCGATCAACCGAAACGTCAATTAACCGAAAGCTTTCCAGTCGGCAAATTTAAATTTCCGCTAATGCTACTGCAATAGTTGGCTATGTCTTGGGTTACTCCAATATTATTTTTGTTGGTGTGCATGTTTTAGCTGGCAGCACTGGCACAATTGTGAGAGTGTACTTAAGAATATGCCAGGATTTGAACAAATTTCAACATGGAATAGGTTAATATATTTTATTGTATATAATCGGTTATCTGAAAAATTGATTTTCCGAACAACCCCAGTCCCCAATTGATTTGGATAATCGATGATCTACTGCAGCGATTCCCAACCTGTGGTACGCGTACCCCTAGGGGTACGCGATAGGTTGTTTAGGGGTACAGAAAAAAGTTAGTTATTATGACAGAAAAAATAATATATTATGTATCACAAACTAATAGTATTAAAAAATTATTAGATAAAAAATGTTCCTTGCAACAATCACAACTTTATTATACATTTTTTCTTTTAGTTTTTTTTTCTTTAATTTAAAGTTACAATATGTAAAATTAACAATACGATTACTCACTAAATTTCTTAAATGAGGGGTACAATCTAGAGATATGACATGTCAAGAGGTACAATCTAGAGATATGACATGTCACGGGGTACACTAATGAAAAAAGGTTGGGAACCACTGATCTACTGTATTACAGTTCTTGTTGATTGTATATTTATGCTCCTTGCTTCTTTAATGCAGATTACATCCAGTGGCACCTATGTATACAAGCTTTATTGTAAAACATTGGTCATCTATTGGGATTGAGTAGATGACTGGTTCAGAGTTATAATCATATAGGACCTTATCATTTCTTAAACTTTTGAAAATGGTTGGGTTATGCTGGTATACTAATGTAAGATTGTTAGAGTTGGCTGTATACCTCTTAAAGTCAGGAAATAATTTAAGACAACCCTTTTTTCTGATTCATCATTATCAAGTTAGCTTTTGTGGTTTGAAAGATTGCAATTAATATTTTTTTTCAATTGACTCATATCATGCTGCTACATTTAAGATAAAAAAAGGTAATTTAAGTTAAGATAGGATAAAGAGTAAAAAGTAGTAATTTTTACCCCCAAATTAGACAGCTATGTGCTGAAACTGGTTTCTTTTTGTAAATCGTACAATAACTCAACCAGTTATTAAGAATCTAAATTCCACTTTTCTTGTTTAGACCAAACTCCATTTCTATGTCATTGAAATAAGTGTAACTTTTAAAAGGTGATATAACTTTGCTTTTGCATAGAGATTTACATTATATTTGTTACATCTGTAATTTGTATTGTTTAACCTGTCAGATAATGGATTTGACACATTACAGAATCAGAGTAGATTTAAGGCAAGGCATTTTCCAGTGAGATTTCTTAAGTTCAATTGGATTATTTCAGTGTAATACATGTCAGAAGTCTGAGATGTTTTGTTGTTCTCTAGTGTTGCTTTGCATTTTCTAGAAATGTAACAAATGTTGGATATATTTTGTATAAATGTAGTGTATGCATTAACTATGAGGGTAGGATGTTTTTCTGTAATATTTGTGAACTATATGTAAGTTTCTGTTTTGTGTAAGTTTGTAATATGCTTATTGTAAAATAACCAAATGATTAATAATTGTTTGTATTTCATGTACTTTCTATGACAGCCGCATTTGTTGCTCTATGATGTTTTATTGTTTTATGTGTTGATGTTATGATATATTTTGTTTGTGATGCATGAATAGCAGTGTAGCTACTATGGGATTTAAGGGGCATCATGCTCTCAATGTTGCAAATTCCACTGAATAGTTGTCACAAAGTCCTGCCACCAAAAGAAAACCTAACATATTTTTTTGGGTTTAAGAGAAATACAGTGCTATAAAGCAGAAGCATAAAGGATCCAGCCTTTTTGACAGGTATTTTGTATGAACTATCAGTATTAGCTATAGATATTAGTCAGCAAAATCAGCCTCTATACTTCCAATGATAAATGTCTAAATTAATTTATTATTAAATATTAATTTAATTATAATTACTGTATTAAATTTCATAAGAGATGGCACCTAATGCTTGCCTCTAGAACAAATTATTCATACTTAGCGTTTAAATATGACTCTTTGCATGAAGTAACTATCTTTTAGACCAGGGGTGTCCAACCTTTTTGTTTCTCTGGGCCACATAGGAATATGTCATGGAGTTTTGGGCCACAAGTATATATAATATACTTGTGGACCAATCCTTAAATATAAAAGTATATTTAAGGATTAACATGTCTAGATTATAGTAATAAGTATTAAATCTTTATCACGAAAAAGTATATTTTAAAAAATTATTTTTACAGACACCTTCAATTTTTACTTAGAAATAGATAAATTCATTTATTATAAAGGAGACAAACAAAAATTTATTTGAAAAACACAAATATTTTGTTTTATTTGGGTCTCTAATTAATAAAAAGTGACAAAACACGATTTTAAAGTGCATTTTTATTCAACTAATATATTTATAAATAATTTGTAGCCCAAAAAGTAGCCAATGCGCCAAATAATATTTTTTACGCCAAATTAAAAAAGGGCAGACAACTTTGGCGCAAAGTAGCCAAATCATGCAACGCTGGAAGGAATACTAAATAAAGCTGGAGTTGGGACTCAAAAGATAATAGACCCAAATTCAGAGAGAAAGGACAAAAGATAAAAAAGTGAGGAAGGTTGGAAAATTATGGATCGATATTTGCATAACAGAAAGTCTATTTAACCTTTTTCACTACTTTTTATCTTTTGGCCTTCCTCTCCTTTTCCTGAATTTGGGTCTATAATTCTTTGAGTCTCAACTTTAGTTTTACTTAGTATTCCTTCCTCATTCACACATTTCCAAATATTTGAAAATATTTTCTTTCCACTCAAAAAT